GAGGGCGAGCGGTGCCCGGGGGACGCAGCCACCACAGGGACCCCCCTGGCAGCTGGCAGGGACCGACCCCATGTCCCCGTGTGACAGCAAAGGCAGGCTGGGACCCAGCTGGGGACGAGGGAGCCGATGCCCAGAGGCAGCTGCAGGCAGAGAGTGGGCACGTGCTCGCAGCCCCGGGACAGTCTTAGTCAGCTTCTTCTTAACCAAATGATGATGAATGTGACTGTCTGTTCTGAGTCCCATGCAGCGCTGCCGTCTGCACCCGAATGGAGGCGAACGGTCGCTTCTCGGTCTGCAGGGGTGCAAAGTGGCTTTTGTGCTGGCTTCGCAGGCTGGTTTATGGACAACTGGGGGCCACACGGTGAGAAACACCCCTTCTAGGACACAACTTTCCATCTGCCTCCTGCCCCATCTCCCCTATCTCCTTGCCAGCCCCCCACTGTATTAAATCCCTTCTCCAGGCTGGTTGTCTCCCTCCCCTTTTCTTCTTAGGCAGAGACCTGCCGAGAGCAGCACCAGGCGCATCCCTCTCCCCAGGGACCAACAGGGATGCCGTCTCACCGTTGGAGCAGCCCCGGGGCCGTGGTCCCCTGGCCGGCGCTCGCTGCAGGTCGGCCTTGAGCCGGGGCCGGGCGCTGCCGCGCTCCTTCTGCAGCGTGTCCAGGACGTCGCTGACGGAGCTCACCAGCCGAGCCATGTTGGTCTGGCTCTCCGAGAGCAGCTGTGGGTGGGGGACACATGGTGGGGGACAAGGTTAACCTGGTTAAACCCTTTCCACCCCCTCAGCCCAACCACCATTCTACTGTGAGAATGCTCTGCCCACTCCCACAGCTCCCCAAATGCCTGCAGGCAGCAACGCCTTTAACCCTGCGGGATAAAGAGCATCTCTGGGCAAGGGAACGGGACTGTGGAGGCGGCAGGAATAGCCGTGTCCTGAGACAGCCGCCGGCTCCCTGCCGTACCCCGAGGTGACCCGGGCTGGGCGAGTGACGTGGGGTGGCCGTGGCAGAGCAGCAGGACAGGGAGCGAAGCAAGCAGCGGGGATCAAGCAGCTCCGGACGGAGGGTGATGAGGACCAGGAGGGACGGGCATGGAGCCGAGCATCCAGCCGTGCCCTGGGTCTTGCTACGATGCCTGGCAGACCCCCGGCGTACCCAGGTAAGCATAATGCATCATCGGCTGGGAAATTTTTGGGACTGTAAAGAAGGGGAGGCTGATTGCTGCATGAATTGCCCTTGGAATGGTCCTGTGCCACGCTTGGCTCTGCTCAGAGCCCCCAGACTGGACCCGGAGCCAGGAGACCCACACATGGGAGGCTGCACACCCGGCTCGCCGGCACTGGGGCAGTTTGGCAGCGAGATGCAGGCGGCTGATGAGCTGGAGCTGAAGTTGTGCTTCCAAACTTGCAGTTCCCAAAAGCCTGCCTTAAACCTCAGCTCCTCCTGCTGGAGGTCTCCCCTGGACACCGTGGGCAGGGGCTGCAAGCAGCCATGCCCCGGGGACAGGGGGGTCTGTCCCCAAGGAGCACCGTGCAGCACCCCCAGCCCCGGCTCACCTGGATGAGCCTGCCCTGCTCGCTCTGCAGGGCGCTGAGCTCCTGCCCCATAGTGTTATGCCCCTTCTTGAGGCCATCGCAGTCGGCGCGCAGCTGCACGGCGTGCGTCAGCAGCTTGGCCACCTCGTCCGCCACCGTGACCAGCAGGGCCTTCTGCTGGCTCTTGGTGGCCTTGGCCTCGGCGTCGTGGTCGGTGACGGCGCGCAGCAGGGAGGTCTGCAGCCCTTCCAGG